TCTTTTGATATTAAAGAAAAACGATCGATTACGAAAACTTTCCCTGAGGTCTCACCTAATTGCCATAAAAGTCTTATCTTTCATAATTACAAAACACAGCCTCGTTCTTTAGTATTTACTTAATAACTACTTCCCATCTGACGGATGCATTTCATAAATATTGAAAGAAGGGGCTTGTTCGTATTTAAAAAAACTCTGGGGGGTATATTTCTACTAATGATAAAAATTCTTTAACTCCCCAAAAATTCTTAAATTTCGAAGCTTTTCTTTTTGTCACCACCAGGACCCCTCGAAACACGTCTTCCACATAGTCACCGACAGGCTAAACTACGCCGCCATGCGAATGTGGTTCTTATCAAATCCCCCAGGAAAAGCAACTGTAAAAGTCCAAAATGTCGAGCATTTCACGTGGCTCAACTCGAGCTACAGCCCTGTCCTCAGGCAGCTCATTGCTCCCTCGACAATCGACTACTACTTCAAAAACCGCCGAACAGAGTCTGACCCGAACCTGAAATACCGGAACCCAAAGTACCTCTCGATTATGAACCACCTGAGGTTTTACCTGCCTGAGATTTTCCCGAAACTCGCCAAGGTTTTGTTTTTGGACGATGATATTGTGGTGCAGAAGGATCTCACGAGCCTTTGGTCGTTGGATATGAAGGGAAAAGTCATTGGTGTGGTCGAGACGTGTGGAGAGAGCTTTCACAGGTTTGATCGGTATTTAAATTTTTCGAACCCAATTATTTCGAAGAATTTTGATCCTCGTGCGTGTGGTTGGGCGTTTGGGATGAATGTTTTCGATCTGAATGAGTGGAGAAAGCAGAATATAACAGAGGTGTATCATAGGTGGCAGAACCTGGTACGTTTTCGTTCTTTTTTTATTATTATTATTTGTTATTGTTTTGTATGACTTGTGGGGGTTCTCTTGGTTGCTTAGGGTGTGATTGTATATTGATTTGATGTGTTTTTTTTGTTAACTATAGTTAATTTTGGAAAATATAGTATGATTAATTGTAGTGAGAATTTTTAAGTTTAAATTAAATTAATATTTCAAATAAAATAATTATAGTTGATTTAATGTAATAGTAGGAGAAAAATGAATGGAAGTGATAGATAGTTAAAATTATGTGAGTTGATGAATAGTGAATTAAAGTTGATGTGATATGTAAAAATGATTGGTGGATATTATTTAATTATATTGATAATATTGAGGATAGTGGGGTTGGGTTAGAGTTGAGTTAAATTTAAGTTTTGATTGGTTCTTTTTAGTTGAGAAATATAACAGATCACTTTAGCACGATTGTTCGCTCGATTTAGTTTCTTCTTTATGCAATAACATGAATAGCTGTACGTTCTCCGTGTCGAATACTATGCATTATTTTGCATTGTTTTTCTTTTATTTATGTTCACGTTTTGTTATTAAGCAGAACAAATAACTTAAGTTATAGTTAATCCTTCATTTAATGGTAAGCAAAAATTGTGACTTGATTTTCAGAATCAAGATCGACTGTTATGGAAACTAGGAACATTGCCACCGGGTTTAATAACCTTCTGGAACCGGACTTATGCTCTCGACAAATCTTGGCACGTTTTGGGGCTCGGTTACAACCCGAATGTGCCCCAAAAGGAGATCGACCGAGCGGCCGTAATACACTTCAACGGCAACTTGAAGCCTTGGCTCGAGATCGCCATACCAAAGTTCAGAGGCTACTGGCAGAAATTCGTTGATTACGATCACCAATTTCTGCGCGAGTGCAACATCGCTCAATAGGTTCCATTTTACGCAATTTTTATAATTTGAAGGTTTTAGTGCAATTATAAGGTAGTTTAGGTATATAAATTTAATTATTTCTTAGCTGAGAGTAGTTATTGTTAGGCTGTTGTTCTGTGATTTGAAGAATTTTATTTTTTGTTGGTGTCGTGATTGATGTAGAGCTGGTGAAGGGCACTAGTCAATGTGACAATGGTGTTTTTTTTTTTTTTTCAATTATTTTCTTCTTAATTTCTGAAAATTTATTTTCTTGCTTCATCAGTTCTTTTTTAACAAATTATTGAGTTTTAGCTTTAGGACACTTATGGGAAGATAATAATTGGTATAAATGTCAGGTTGTTAGGCAGACCCAACATTAGCATAACCACATTAAACACAATAGGAGAATGTACTATTAGAATATATCTAATAATTAGACAATTATACTAAGTAAAATTGTATTTTTAGTCATGTTGTCGCTGTAGCATTTTTAGTCAAAAGATTTGAACTTTTTGTTTTTTGACTGTAATTTAGTATTTTGCAGCAATTTTAGTTTTTTGAGAACAAAATTTGAATTTACAAGACATAAATTGCTAATCAACAATCAATCCAAATTTTTTTTATTAGCAATTTAAATTCTGTAATTTTAAATTTTGTTGTATTTTCAGTCTCAAAAGATAGAAATTGCGTTCATTTTAAAATCATAGGACCACATGGCAAAAATGTTCAATTTTTAAGACTAAAATCACTATTGGATCAAACCAATAGGACTAAAATTGTAATTTTGCCATTATACAATTTTCGTCTTTTAGGAACAAAATTTATAAAATTGTAGTATTTTCAATCCCAAGATTTGAACTTTTTGTCATTTGATCACGTAATTTAGTATTTTGTTGCAATTTCAGTCTTTTAGGAACAAAATTTAAATTTACAAGACTTAAATTGCTAATCAACAATCAATTCAAAAGATTTTTTTTTTATTAGCAATTTAAATTCTGTAATTTTAAATTTTGTTGCACTTTCAGTCTCAAATGATAGAAATTGCGTGCATTTTAAAATCATAGGACCACGTGGCAAAAATGTTCAATTTTTAAAACTAAAAATCGCCACTGGATCAAACCAATAGGACTAAAATTGTAATTTTGCCATTATACAATTTTGAACAAGAACAAAATATGTGATGATATTTTATACTAGAAGTATGCACTCGATTAAAGAAAATATGAGTGTCTTAGGTTAGACAGCCTAACAGCAGCATTCGTGAATCACATTAAACACGATTAATCGTAATCTTAAGCATTTTTTTCCCCTTTTTTCTTTTCTTAAATGAGAAGGATGCCTTTTAATCATAAGTTCTTCACATGAACAAGGTGAGTATAACGTACAAACCACTTAAAGAACCCATTTTGGAGTAAGTTTTATCACATGTAGTGAAGGTAATTTTATGTTGTAGGCTTCACAAAGTGATTAGCCACTCGCATATTAATAACGTATTATTTGTGTGACAAGCTCGATCATGTGCTAATAGGTAATGAAACTTGACTATTTAGTTAATATCTACTCTACTCTATTATATATCACCCATTCACCGATGTTAAATTCTTGTTTGAGGTGACTAATCGTTAGGCATTTCGACCTGTTGTAAGGTTGATGTTTTAAATAAGTCTGACGGTTAGATAGTCATACATTTTCTACAAATATATATACTATTAAATTGAAATGACATACTCTAAAACATGACATAGATAAAAGTATGACATTTTATAACATAAATACACATTTTTTTAAATAAATATGATAGGTCGACCAACAAAATAGTTATGCCTCTTTCACGTTGGATTTTTTTTTTTTTAATGTAGATTCCGTAGGGTATAATCGTTTGTACATAAAAACTATGTTCTATAAACTTGTTGAAAAGCTAATTTTGAGCTTATGACTAATGATTGAAAACTACTTAAAATATATAATGAAAGAGTTTGGTAAAATTAGCTGATAACTAGTTAAAATAAAATTTTCAATCGGCTTATTTAAAAAGCTACGTAAAAAAACTCATGAGATAGAATTCAACTTTTTTAAAAAGCTTGTTCTACCAAATGTATTTAAGTACAAAATATTTTTATAAAGCTGATTAAATAAGTTTTAAACTAGGTTATGGCGTTTGCAAAATGCACTCAAACTATCATCAAAGAGAATAACCGTATAACCTTCATGGAATAAATGTTAAAACAAATATGGGCTTGGGAATACAAAGGATAACATGGGCCTAGTGTAGGTAAGTAGTGAAACCAAAAAAAAGAGGCAAAAGCCCAAAACCATTTATAATTTAAAATTCCACTTGAAGTCGGGTTTCCGGGCCGGGCTTCCCCACCCGAACATACTGATTGTGGACCAATCTCTCTTTGCTTTTACACTTTTTCGGGTTTGTTAGCCTTAATGAAATGTGACTGAAATAAGTGTCGTTTTGAGAAATTGAACAATAATTAAGAAGCATTTTTTCTCAATAATAATCCTTATTACTAATAAAGATAGCGATTGATGTTTTCTAAAAATATGAAAAGACGTAGCCTATTTATTAGCTAAATGAAAGTAATAATAGAAAAATATGTGTAAAAGATGCAAAACATCATTTATTTGACTAATAGTTGATAAAACCAAAATGACATTTACAATAATACTAGTATAAAAAGAAGATCCAGTCAAACTGAAAATGAAATACTCCTAAATTTTAGTGTATATTTTAATAAATTAATGAAAATGATTAAAATGAAATACTCCTAAATCTTAGTGTATATTTAATAAATTAATGAAAATGATTAGAAGCTGTAAAAGCCTGACTAACAATGATTAGAGGATCTTTCATCTAAATCAACACCTCGATCACCTACATAATCACTTGTATTAAAATGCAAAGGAGCAAAGATTAAATAGACACTTTGAGCTTTTTGACTAAATATTTACTACAAATGTTTTAAGTGGTTGAGAGCCTTGAGACTAGACAACATGGACATTGTGTTACATTTTATTATAGCAGTTGTTATTTATCTATTGTCATGAAAAAAAAAAAAAAAAAATCATTTTTCATAATGAGAAATAAAAAATTACATTTACCTAAATAAACAACTAAAATGATGTGTCTGATAAACACAACGAGTTGTTCAGGAGCTTAGCTCGACTTGTTTGACATACGAGTCAAACTCGAGCTCATCTAAGACACGTTTTTAGTTAACGCGTATAACTCACTAAGGCTCGTTGGGCTTGAAAAATAATAATTTTTACGTAATTTTTGAATTTCTAATATAATACAACTTATTCAAACTCAAACTCGACTCGTTAACAAATTGTATGTTCGATCTTTTTTATCGTCTCATTAACTTAACAACTCGACGTGACTCATAAAGGGCTCAAATTCGACCAGAATTCAAAAAGACTATATATAAACATAAAGAAAATTAATTATAAATATAAATTTAAAAACAATGTTGATAAAGAATCAAGATAGGTCAAGTTGAGGACTCACAATGTCTTTAAATCTTTTGATTCTTTTGAGGGACAATAGCTGTGGGAGCACTTACAAGAAAAAAGGGACAAAGGAAAAGGGATTTCTAACAAGTAAAATAAATAAACAAATAAATAAATAAATTGATATATATATATATATATTTTTTTTTTTTTTTTTAAAAAAAAAAAGCATTAAATCCTGTCAACAATTTAGCTTTAAAACACACACACACAGTCCATTGCCCAAACTTTTGCCATTAACCAAATGCTTTTATCCTTTGAAAACTGAACATCTTTGAGGTCTTTTTGTAAAACCAAAATAGACTTGACTAGAAAGTTGAGAAGTTTCTTGAGGTTCAAAAATTTTGTACTTCATGACAAATAATTGTCCTTCAAGGAACAGCTTAATTATTCACTTTATGCAATCAATCAAAAATAATTCATGTAGAAATTGGTATTCTATATAATTTCCTGCACTTTCAGCATAATATGGCTTGTTAAGGCTCCAACTCTGTTCATTAAAGCTCGTTATTTAGCTAAGCTCGAGCTTGTTTATCGACTCGTTAACTTAACGAGCCGTGCTCGGCTCGACTTGACTCTATGAGGGCTCGAGATAGAGCTCGACTCGACTTATTTACATCACTAAATTAGTGTTATTAGATAATCATATCTCTCTCTCTCTCAGTCTCTTGTGTTTTCTTTCATATATATTTCACTTTCTTCTTTTATTGTATTCTTTTTTGTTTTTTCTCACTTTTGTGTTGATTAAGCTGCATTTGACTTAAAGTTGGAAATGGACCAACTTTATAATATGGAATCAGAAGAAATGGCAGAAACAAAAAAAATAATAATAATAATAAAATAAAATAAATCTCAGTGCTTTTCTTTTGTATTGTAAGAAACTGAGGAAAAACGGGTGCGGTCCCACTAACATGAAGTGCAAGTGGGGTTCCATCCCAAAACCAATTGGTGGAAGGAGGAGTAGCCCATTAGACTTATAAGGTGAGTCTATTTTCTATGTATGAACGATGTGTGACAACTTACAAGTGATATTCTAATATGTATTACCGTTAATTGTAAAAACACTGACCATATATTTAACATAAACTAAAAAAAACATAAATTGATAAATAGTAAACGAGCACTCACTATATTTCGCGGGAGATGCTACGGTGCCGTTACGGAACGGTTCCGTCGGGGTTTGTAACCGTTAGATCATCTATTCCCATCAGTTACATGATGATCTAACGGTTACAAACCTCAAAGGAATAGTTCCGTAACGAAACCGGAGCATCTCCCATATTTTGCAATTACAAATTATAAATTGTCAAAATTAAAACAAAAAATAAATGGCACACAGGACTATATAAATGAAGCATATATATGGCCCCTTTTCACAGTAGCTTCCCTGCAACAACAAACTCAGATTCCGGTAAAGATGGTGCATCAAAACTCAATCTTTGTTTGATAACTAAAGTGTGAGAGAGAGAGAGAGAAAA